TAAAATTTGACAGTGGTGATATGAGAGAGGTTTTTTATCTAATATTTTCAATGCTCTTTTGTAGCATACTTCAATTGGCCCAATAGCAGCCGAGCTCGTATAGGACCAACTGGTAATACAATATTCAATATGAGCCAGTATCATAGAATGCAGGAATGTAATCGCTGCCGTGTGTGTTAATGACGATCGGATATATCTAAAGTTCCGTATATTAACATTAACAGTTTTCACTACTTTACTAATATGTTTTTTAAAAGTTAATTTAGAGTCTAATCGCACTCCCAAATACTTAAACTCCTCAACATTAATTAATTCATGTGCACCCAAGCAAACTTTTCCTGCAGCTACGGTTGTCTTAGGTTTACTGAAAAACATTGATACGGTCTTGTTAAAATTAAGGCACAGGCATGAGTCATTCAGCCATTTTTGTAAATCACGTAATGCCAGTGAAAGCTGATGGGCTGCATCATCCGGAGTTTCGGCTTGCGTAAAAATTACTGTATCATCAGCATACATAATTGTGTCCACATTTGTACATACATTAGGCAAGTCATTTACATAAAGTGAAAATAACAGGGGACCCAAAATTGAACCCTGGGGAACACCTTGCATGCAGTTAAGATAGGGTGACTTGCTATTCTTTATTTGCACACATTGTTTTCTATCTGATAAATAAGACTGTATCCATTTAACAGTATGATTACTAAAGTTAAATGTCGACAGTCTAGACCAGAGTGTATGATGATTGACAGTGTCAAATGCACGTTTGAAATCGAGAAAAACTGCCGCAACACAACGACTCTTGTCTAAATAAGACTTAAGTCAGCTTTAGTCTGGGATGGACCCGTATCATCAACATGCTGTCCTCTCTATGAACGTGTTAAAACAGCTCACAGCTGCTAACGTGATACGTGTAAAAGGAGACACTGCTGATGTGACCAGATGTTGACTCTGGTACGTGTGTGTTTGTGGCAACAGCTGGCAGCGTTAGGGTCTGATGGAAGCGAGAGCAAAGGTCATGCGCCTGCCTGAAGACGGCTCACCAGAAACGATGGGGACTGATGTCACGGATGTCCCTGGTCTGATGACCTGTTAGACGTGTCTTCTTTCACATCGCAGTGCAAACCTGTAATACAGGGGTGTCCGATCCTGGTCCTGGAGGGCCGGTGTCCTGCATGTTTTAGTTTGAACTCTGTTTCAACACACCTGATTTCAATCAGCAGGTGATTAACAGGCTTCTGCAGAGCCTGATGAGCTGCTGCACACGTGTTTCAACCACTGAATCAAGCCTGCTGGACACCGGCCCTCCAGGACCAGGAATGGGCTCCCCTGCTGTAACAGTTAAACACACGGTCTCAGATACAGAGGCCAGTGGAAATTGAAACAGAAACTAAGAAGTTACATTCAGTTCAGAAGTAATTATGTGACGTTTGCTGCCGTTTAAAAGCACGGCAGCCGTCTCTGTGAGCTGGGGCGTGGGTGAGGGTGAATGTGTTACCGGAGGAGCGGCGTCTGTGTGCTGAACATGAGCTTCGCTTCCTGTTTATTGTCCGTTATGCGATCACGTAAGAATGTCCCCGTTGAAGAGTCAGGCTAAAAGTCCTGATTTTTAGTTTTCAGAAGGCAAAATGAAAAGTTGGCGTTTATATGGAGAGAGGGTGGAAACACAAACACGTGCTACTTCCTCCTGCTACGTCAAACGATGCTCTTGTTAACGTACAGCCACGTCTTTGTGTTAAATAGTGACTTCACCTGAGCCCATGTGGGGGAACACTGGTTCACCAGGGTCATGTGACCACCATCAACGTGCATCCTAAAACTCACAGCTGCTCAGCAAAAACAAATTCCTCCAGTCTCCAAACATCCAGACTGGAACAGAACACGAAACGACGGATCAACGATGAGAAACAGGCCGTTGCTGCATATGCACACCTGTCTGTCCTTGTGGACTCACGTCCTTGTGGACTCACGTCTTTGTGGACTCACGTCCTTGTGGACTCACGTCCTTGTGGACTCACGTCTTTGTGGACTCACGTCCTTGTGGACTCACGTCTTTGTGGACTCACGTCCTTGTGGACTCACGTCCTTGTGGACTCACGTCTTTGTGGACTCACGTCCTTGTGGACTCACGTCTTTGTGGACTCACGTCCTTGTGGACTCACGTCCTTGTGGACTCACGTCCTTGTGGACTCACGTCTTTGTGGACTCACGTCCTTGTGGACTCACGTCCTTGTGGACTCACGTCCTTGTGGACTCACGTCTTTGTGGACTCACGTCCTTGTGGACTCACGTCTTTGTGGACTCACGTCCTTGTGGACTCACGTCCTTGTGGACTCACGTCTTTGTGGACTCACGTCCTTGTGGACTCACGTCTTTGTGGACTCACGTCCTTGTGGACTCACGTCCTTGTGGACTCACGTCTTTGTGGACTCACGTCTTTGTGGACTCACGTCCTTGTGGACTCACGTCTTTGTGGACTCACGTCTTTGTGGACTCACGTCCTTGTGGACTCACGTCTTTGTGGACTCACGTCTTTGTGGACTCACGTCTTTGTGGACTCACGTCTTTGTGGACTCACGTCTTTGTGGACTCACGTCTTTGTGGACTCACGTCCTTGTGGACTCACGTCTTTGTGGACTCACGTCCTTGTGGACTCACGTCTTTGTGGACTCACGTCCTTGTGGACTCACGTCCTTGTGGACTCACGTCCTTGTGGACTCACGTCCTTGTGGACTCACGTCCTTGTGGACTCACGTCTTTGTGGACTCACGTCTTTGTGGACTCACGTCTTTGTGGACTCACGTCCTTGTGGACTCACGTCCTTGTGGACTCACGTCCTTGTGGACTCACGTCCTTGTGGACTCACGTCTTTGTGGACTCACGTCTTTGTGGACTCACGTCCTTGTGGACTCACGTCCTTGTGGACTCACGTCCTTGTGAAACGCCATCAGCGCTGGCCCAAGGACTCTTCCAGTCCTAATGCTCAGAGTTCCCAGGTGTGTTCTTGCTCCACCCGTTGTGTCTGCGGACTCGGGACAGCAGCGTTTCCTACGGTGCACGACGTCACACCCGTTCTACCCCCAACATCGGAGGAGAAATCTAATGTCTGTAGTTTTATGCCAGAAATACTAATAAAGAAATATGAATGTGTGTCTTATTGTAAATGATTGTGTGTAACCTGTACAACTGGTTGTGTATATTTGGGTTTTACTTTTCATGATCCCTCAAAATGCTAATTAGCTGAGCCACTTTCAAAATAAAAGCAGAGTGTCTCTGTTTAGTGAAAAAAATCATTTTTAATTCCTTTAACTGTGGAAAATGCTGTTTTAACAGTTTGTATCAAAGACAATACAAATAATATTTGTTGTTGTTATTTAGTCATTTAAGGAACAAACTAGACTTTTATTTTCATGTCAGGTCAGCTAACCATACCGTTGCCATGACGCAGAATGCAGTTCTGTTCTGGGGCTGAACGATTCTGGAAATTTATCTAATTACAATATTTTTCTTCATTATTACGATTTAATTCACGATTATTTTCTCAAGGAGCTTTTCTCAACTTGTACTGAATATAAGCAAGTTTATATTTATCTACATATCATAGCAGCACAGTTATTTGTCTACATAAGCATAAACACTCACAGGTAGAGACTAAATGTGGCATGTGAAGGTGTGATGCTTGCAGCCAGGAGCACATCCCTTGAAGGAGCATCAGCTGAACGTTTATCAGCAGGATAGAAGTGTGTCGTGTTTATTGCAGCCTTTTGTGTTTAGAGTTTTTGACGTCTTGTCCATGCAGAGCTTCCGTAGTTAGGGTGAGGGTCCATAGCTGCTTGTTTTTACTGTTATTAGACTCATGTGGATGGTAGTTGCACATGGTTGCTCTGATGATGGATGTAACAGACGCTAACAACAACAGGAAACAACACCATTGTCTTAAGCTTTGGACTGTTTCCCATCAAACTCCTCACAAACATGTTCACTGACCTTTTTACGTGTATTTGTGATGTACGCGTTATTCATAGAGCGTCATACTACAAACCTGTTGCTCGGATTTACAGTTCAGACTTTAAAGAGGAAGGCTTTTGCTTCTACAGACTCCAACCGTCGCCTCTGAAATGTGTCATGTATTTGTTTGTTTTGTCTGACTGCGGCTGTTGTTCTTGTTCGCCCCTATCGTAGCATTTCACAGCTAATTAGCTTTGATGCTGAATAAAACTATCAACACTTGAAAAAATCTTGTTCTTTTTGGGAAAAAAGAATCGGTACTTTAAAACAAAACAAGAAAACGGTTTCGGACAGACCATGTGGCACCCCACAGGGTTCAGTCTTAGACCCCTTTTTACTTTTCACATTCAGTGTTTTTTATGACGGAACTATCACAGATTTAATTTTAGACTGCTGGGCTTCAAATCAGCTGATAATGTAAATTTAAGATTGGAAAATAACTCCAGAAGACCCAGATCCTTTTTCCAGTGCGTCTCTGAAAGTACTAAACTTAAACAACGGCCACTTACGAAGGCAAGGCAGCTTCATGTACATAGCACATTTCATACATAGAGTTGAACCACTTCTCTGTTTATTTATAATTACACATTTGTTGACATTGATAAATGATTTTTTGGCAAATGAATCATTGCTTCGAGCTTTGTTTTATGTTGCTTTTAGCGACACAAGGTGAAGGCGGATTAGAGCGGTCACACAAACACTATAAAGGTGCGTCGTGCAACACTCAAAAGGTCAGAAGTACAACAGGAACCCAAAGAGGAAGCTGCTGTCCTTCTGGACAACTGTAGGCAATAATCTGCAGTTCATGGTTTTTTCAACATGGTCAATAGGCCGGATTAAGCACCGTGTCAGAGTGATGTTTGGATTATTTCAGCATAGCATCAGGATTAGATTTTCAGGATAAAATAGGATGAATAAGCAGCTGAGCATGCCAGACAAATTCCCCGAGGACGAAATGCTGACATATTTGCTTTTCTGTTTTCGTTCTCCAG